GGGGAGGGGCTAGTTCTTTGTCTTATGGGAACACAAATCTAAATGCATAACATGTGACTATGAGCAATCCTGAATTGTGAAGAAACAGAGGGGATTTCTGTGAAAGTAGGTTGATTTTCAGATTCTTAGAAGATATCATCAGACTATTAATTTAGTATAAAAACAGAGTACTCCCTTACAAGATTAGTTGGTGGAAATTTCCAATTAAAAGAAAGAAAAAAAGAAGAAATATATGGAAACTCTTGGTAAACAAAAAAAGCAGCACGATAGTTTCCATAGTGATTACTATATTTGTTGTCTGCGTTACTAAGAAGGCTGGGAAAAAAAATCACTGTAAAAGAAAATGTAAGGTATTATTGCATTAAACAACCCGATATTAAAGAGTGAAAATATAAATAAAAAATTTAAAAAACAAAAAAAAACTATTAAAATTAGTGAACTCGATATTATTGCATTAAACAACCCAATATTAAAGGGTGAAAATATAAATAAAAAAATTTTTAAAAAAAAACTATTAAAATTAGTGAACTCACAAACCTCGCGAACATAGATATAAGATTTAGATGATCTTATAGAGGTAAAGTATGAAAAGAAAAATTGAAGGATAAAATTAAAATATGAAAAAAAATTGAAGGATAAAATTGAGATTAGTCAATTTAAAAAAATAAAATAAAATTAAACTCTTATTAACCTTTAAAACCAATGATTTTGGTCATGAATCCAGATCGAACTCCAAAAAAAACAAATGGTAAAAAATAACAAAGTAAAACCTAAAAAAAGATTAAAAAAAAGAGAAAAATTCAACTTAACAAAATGAAGAAAACAATTGGGCAAACCTCTTAAACCTTATCTAATATCTAAAACTCGTAACTTATGAAATCTTGAACATCGTTTCAGTCAATAAATTTATTTTTTAACCAATTTAATTTTAAATAATAAAATCATAAAAAAAAAGATTAATAAAAAACCTTGCAAAAGCAAAAAAGATAGCAACAAACAATGAGGATAAAATTTAATAGGAAAAAAAAACAAAAGAGGATGAAATTAAAAAAAAATGATCCTAAAAAAAAAGTAGTGATCAAATGAATGAAAACCAAATTTAAAAGATTAAAGAATCATAGAGGAATAAAATTGAAAAATACTTGTAATTTTATAGATTATTTATAAATTAAAAAATGATAGAGGTAAAATTAAGAAAATATTTGTAATTTTATAACTTATTCAAAAATAAAAAAATAAAATAGTAATTAAAAGGACATGAACTAAATATGAAGGGGAAAAAAATTGAATTGGATGGTCTGAAATTTTAAAGGTGCCGATACTAAATTCGAAGAAAAGAGAGGGATAAAAAAAAAAAAAAAAGGATAGCAGAGCCAAACTAAAGATATCTCTAGCACACATTTTGTTCTATCACATAAAGAACAATAAGATCTTCCAAATATCGTCCTAAAAGATAATATTTGGTGGTCAAAAAAACCTCATATGTGCCACTCAAATGGCAAGAGAATTGTCCATAGGTTGGCGCATATCACACGAAATAACAATTTTAATTTTAAATATTATTTAATATATGTTAATTATAATAATGTCCATGAGTAGCTTTTAATTTTACTATAAAATCAATGTAAAATAATTAAAAAAACCTTTGTGAGTGAGTTATGATGTTTGTTTTAAAAAGCATAAAATAATCACACTATTTAAAAAAATAAAAAGACCAAAACATCCTTAAGTGAAAGGTATTCTATTTTTTTATTCTAAAATTAAAGTATTAATTTTACTATGCAAAAAAATCAAATACAAATCAAATAATATGTTAAAAACAATCGGGTCATGGCAAAAAGTTCATTTGCCCCAATGCTTAATTAAATGGTTTTTTTTTAATGACAATGTTGTAATTATACTATTATAATGAATAGTGTTGTAAATATTAATGAACAATAATTTTTTGAGAAGAATTAGTTTTTTATTTAATTAATTAATTTAACAAGTTGGATGTATATGGCAATATTTCCCTCAAAATATCCGTATCATTTTGTGTTTCTACCATTTTTAAATAAAAATATATGGTTTCAAAAGTTAAAAAATCGTTTAATTCTCAAAAAATCACAATTTTTTAAGAAAGTTGTTTGAAAAAAAAAACAATTTAGTAATAATTCCAATTTTTACTTAAAAAGGAATGATAAACAAACAGATTAATTCTTTGGATTTTATTTGTAAATTAAAAAAAAAAACAAATTCAAAAGATGTTCTAAAATTTGAATTTTATTTGTAAATTAAAAAAACAAACAAACAAATTCAAAAGATGTTCTAAAATTTTTATTCACCTAGATTTTTATCATAATTCAACCTAAAAGATTCCACTCTTTGGGACGCATGGTTATTCTATGCACCACTTAGCTAGCGACCAATTGGGATAGTTTATATATATATATATGATCAATTACTGAAGCCAAAAAGAGAAATCAAACACCTTATAATCTCCGTGACATCATGGAAATGCACATGCAAGGATCTAAGCCAAACTTTTACAACGTATTCCTAAAAAGAAAATAGATTTGCATCTTGGATTTTCAAATCATTACCTCTCATGCCGTTGTCTCTAAAAAAGGAGGGATCGTACCCCATATATAGAGGACGGCAGTCCTCTATCTTCCTTTAAGGATCTCCGAGGATAAGAGTGGATCCCATGCATCCATCCAGTAGTTCTCCGAGGATAGCATATTCATCAAGTTCATCCTTGAAGTCTTATACCATGGTGAAAGTAAGTTTGAAGATGCTTGAGAAATCCGATGAGAGTGAGGGGAGGCAATAATGCCATATTTATGAAGCCTTTTGATTTTATTGAAAAAGATAAAGGTGAAAAAGGATACTCTTTGGTGATGGGTGGCCTGGAAGACAAAAAATACTTTCGGGAGGAAGGAACATCTCGTCTTCTTTTCGCCATTGAAGAGACAGCAACATGGGCCAAGCTCTGTCGAAGCATTAGAAAATTCATCGATTGTGGTGTACCTATGAGGTCTGAGCCTGTAATATTTTTATATCAGGTCTTTCATTGCCGTTTCGTATGATTCTAAATCATGTTTGGTTTGAAATGGTAAAAATAATTATAGTTTAAAATATGTTTTTTTTAAAAAAAAAAAAATATTTTTAAAATTAATCTATGATCAAAACTATATAAAAACATAAAAAAATTAAAATTAATCTAGGATCAAAACTATATAAAAACATAAAAAAATTAAGAATAAAAATTAAATTTAAAAAAAAAACATGATTTCAACCATATTTCCAATCATGATTTTTAATTTAATACCGGCAATTTTTCTTTTCAAAACTAATAAGAAATTGCATGCTCGATCACTGACCTAGATAATAGTCAATTTGTTGGCTGGACACGACACGGGTCAAGACTGTGATCAAGGAATAGACTCTACTTGTCTGTTTTTTCATGTATTTAATATTAATTAAATGTATTATTTAGGAAAGACAATTGATCCTAATTTTTTCTTTTGGATATTTACTTTGCTTCTAGGTAATGAATAAAATATAGATATATTAAATTTGATCTGAATCGATTGAAATCTAACTCAAGATATATATTTGTATTATATAAATATTTATGTTTTTTTATCATATATATATATATATATGCTTCAAGTATATAAATTGTTATTTTTTGTTGAATGTTAAATAATAGTAGAATAATAAATATCTATATAGATACCTAAAACCAATAAATAAAATATAAATATTTAAATTTTTTATTCAACGAGTAATTAATGGATAGGAAATGGAAATGAAAAAACAAACTCAATTCATGGATTCCGTCATCGTCACTAATATTATCAATGAAGTACTAAGACAAGGAGAGAGAGAGAAAATGAAGTGCTAAAACAAGGAGATAAAGGGAAATTTATTTTTGACAATGTTAGGGGAAGACAATGTTATTCTCTCTCTTGTAAGAACCTACCTATTGGGAGTATAAACCTGTAGAGGAACGACAAGGGCACTTTGAAATATTGCATAAATTCAGAATGTTGACAGTAGCAGCCGCACACCATGAGAATTTTCAAAACCTTTTAAGCTATACTAAAATGATACCAAACATACCCTTAAACATTTAATGTTACAGCTTAATTCAAAAGACACAAGGTATTTTTTTGTAATAATCAAAGAATCAGTCTATATCTCGATCATGTATTTAATTTTTGATGGATACTTATTGAATCCTAAACTTCTAATTAAATATATGGTCCCTCACGTTCCATACATCATCAAAGAAACAGGCTTTTAGCTTTTAGTGGGTGATGATCACTAAAGGATGTTACAGACTATTAAACCTCATGAATGCGAGAAATCTTAGATAATGTTCCTGTGACCCATCTCTTATGATTCACAACCACATATCAAGGTAGAAGGTGGCATTAATTAATTTTTAAAAATGATATTTGAGAGTATAGTAATGATTGAAAATAATTTTTTATTTTTAAAAAATTATTTTGATATTAACACAAAATAATAAAAAAATAATAAATATTGTTTGGAATATAGTTCCAAGCAATAAAAAAATAAAAAAATAAAAAAATATTGTTTGGAATATAGTTCCAAGCAGCCACTAAACATATTCAATTCTAGTAGCAATCTAACTAAATGGAATATATATATATATATATATATCTATATATATATATATATGATCTTTATTTTTTTTTTCAATATGAAGGATGAGTTTTTAGCTTTTCTTAATGGTAAGAAATCAACAAAGTTTGGTTTGGTACTAATACAAGGCGAATTTTCTTCCAAACTCCAATACTCTCGAACGATTCCTTCCATGATATGCACGTAACGTACAGATGTACTGCTTTCTTGGTTTTTGTGCTAATCATACACCTGTACGACCCACAATAACCTGTGTACTAAAACCATGCATCCTTCATTAGCCTTCCTACAACAACACCATGCCCATTTGCTGCTCCATAGCAGTACAATGGGGCTGGATCTGGGAGTACAAATTGTCTGATAATTGAACTAAAAGATCCACATCAAGTACTACCATATACGGTGACTCCGTGTAGTACATTTGAAAGGAAGTGTTGGGTTTTTCGTGCTATAAATCAAGGAATGAAGCCCCAGCTGCATTCATCGCCTAAGTTGAGCAAACGGAAGACAGAGGCGTACGATTGTGGAGGATTCCTACAGGAGCGACCTGGAATCACATGTGGGCTGCACCCTCCTGGGTTCTCTTGGGCAACATGTGTTCTCAGGTCGCCCCTGCCGGGCTTTCCTCCATATGCTAGTTACTACATTTCAGTGGTGCGCCCAACTCTGATGGTGTGCTTTGTACCATTGGATCCTCGCCTAGTCCCTTGTATTTTTTGTAAGTCTATGTTTTTTTGACGTTATTAATATTTCGAGTGTTTTTTTATTTCTCATCGTCTAGTTGCAGCATATATGGGATGCTCTCTTGTTAAAAAATTGGAAAGTATCAAACAGCACTATAAACAAGTAATTTCAATATTCACAACCCACGTGATAGAATGCTAAAAGAGTCGGTCCGAGAGACCCATGAAAGCAAAAACTCAAGGCTTGCTATTTTCGATTTTAACTAGTTCTTTTACGCAAATGGACAGGTATGGCAATGCAAGCTCTTGATATTTTTTCGCTCTAGAAGTTATGCTCCTGTTGTGTTGCTAATACGGCACCTTGAACAAGATAAGAGCAATCACATTGCCAGCAGAGTACAGACAAGAATGATGGGAAGTGAGAACAAACCTGAACAAAATGCATCACGAAAATATCAAAGTTGATGCTAGGTCATGTTTCCTCACAGCATGCTCCACTCCCATTGAAAATTTATCACTTTAGCCAGGAGTAATAAAAGCATGCCGAGTGCCTGGAAACCAGTTTGAGCCATGCCGGGTTCTTTGCGGAAATTCCAGTAATTTCATTTCCCATAAGAATGAGGTTGTTAAAGGGTTGCAGATGAATATCAATGAGAATAAATTGAGTAAATAGGGCACCATAAAGAAATCAAAAATGTTATTCTGGGGACTTCTACACCAAAATCCTCACATCAGACATAATAGCAAGCAGCTCTTCTTCCCCGATTTTCTTCCAAACCCCATTTATCATTAGACAACCTTGGTCATCTTTTGACAACAAAAGATTCTCGCCCTCTGATTCAAAACTGTCTGCTGTCTCTCTCATCTTCTTCACACTTGATTTATCCAATAAATAAATATCAGAACCAGCTTCTCTCTTGCTACCAGTCCTCTCGACACCAGTGTAATCTGATAAAGGAATATCAACACCAGGTTCTCTTATGCTACATTGTTTCTGTTCCCAGATCTGCTTCCTTTCTGATGCATGCACAGGCTTTTTACCGTCATCATCACAGTCAAGAACAGGAAGGCAGCCAGAAGATCCAAGGTCACGAGGCAGCATACCAATTGGACATGGGTTCCATGATTTTGCCACAACCCATCTGCCTGAACTACCCACATCACCATCTGTTCTCTTAGCAACTTTACTCTTTGTTCGGCAAAGTTTTACAAAGTCTAGCTTCTTGGTGGCCTGATGGATAGATTGATCTTGCTGGGTAAGAAAGCTATTCAAACTCAGGGGAGGAGACTTCTCTTGGGTGACATCTGGGTCTGATAAAGCTAGCAAACTTAGTTTTTTGAGTTTATCTATCACGGAGCTATCACCCATCAACCGTGCAAGATGCAGTGCTGAACCCATAAGCTGTTTATTGCCATATGAGGACACCAGAAGGCATTTACGAAGAACCTCCATCAGGATTGCGTTGGATAAATTCATTCCTATTGAAGAGGCTAAGCTTTCAGCTGCAGGTTGTTTACAGCGAAGAGGCTTTAGACCCTTGAGTTGTTCAACAAGCCATGCAAACAAGGAAGAAAGTCGATCAATTTGGCGATTCTCTGTTCCATGCTCCCATGATATGAGATGTGTTCCTAAACAAGATTTCAGAAAAGGTCAATAAAGAGAACATTAAATCAAAACCATTTATGTGATTATTATTGCATTGAACCTTTTTGAAGCTATCATGTATAGTTATAGGCAGCTATATGTCATTCCGCATCAAGCTGGCATTCCTTGTAAACCAGGTACTTACATGGTTAATCAGATATAGCTCATAAACAGGTTGAAAAGAGTTCAACAAATATGAGGCTGGGCATGCCTAATTCACTAGCTCAAATAAAGACCAATGATCACAAAAGTTGGTTCAACAAAGAAAAGTTCACAAGTGGGTTTCAAATGCAAAAACAAAATGCCTATTGAGAGTTGACGCCAAATTATAGCTAACTGAAAGCAGTAGCATTTGGAATTTTGTTGAAGGTTTGGAGAGAATTTCTGTTACTAAACCTGTATCTTCTGAAACTTCTTGCTAATAAACCAATATACAAGTAGTGCTATTTCTGTGCTTCTTGTGAACAAACAAAAAAATATTAACCCCAAGCACGGTGAAAATGGAGAACATTAGCAGTTAACAACTACTAAAGGTTCTGATTATCCTAACAGGACCTAAAAAATAAGCAAACAATAGCTATGGAACACAGGAGAACTGAGTTTGTGGTTACCCATTTCATATTTCATGGCTTCATGAGTATCAATCATATTTAGAACAGCCTTAAGAAGCATAAGGAGTACTTCTGGTTCCTTCTTTGAGAATTTTGTTATTACAAGCTTCCAATCATCCAACAAAGTACACACGCCTTCGCCAACTAGGCAATCTTTTGGAAGCTCCACCAAATTTGAGGAATCCAAAGCCTTGAGCAAGAACTCCAACAAAACTGACAGTACTTCTGAGGAGAAGGAAGAATATAGACGAACCAGATTTTTCAAAGTCTTGGTAATATTCTTCTTAGAACCTGAAGAAAGAAGTTCGTCAGCAAATACATATAACTTGTGTGTGCAGATATTTGGGTCATCTTCCATGCATTAGCTACAACTCCAAATTTCAAACAGTATCTGTGAAAATTCCTACGACATCAAGAACTATCCTCAAAAGTTCTTCACTAAGTGTTCATAATGAACTATATTGCAACCAAGAAATATCAAGAATGAAAGAACCATAAATTTGAACCTTGCCTTTATTACTTCTTAAAAATAATTGGAGCATATCATCTCACCCCTAGATTTGGATGAATATAGTGTGCTGGACACAAGTGAGAAAAACTTAATATGGCCAGAAAGTTGTTCACAACATCTGCCACCTACAAAGGCTGCAGTCAATAAGAACGAAATTCTATAGCGGCAGCCATTAAATAAGCTTTGAAAATCATATAACCAAAAAATGCTATCTCCTCATTGGGATGAGTAAAAAAATACATAAGTTTACATTTAAACGAGCCTTTTTTTAGCTTCAATTTTATTTTTTTTATTTTTTTTTGTATTTTTCGATCGTTTTGATATGTTAATGTCAAAAATAAATTAAAAATTTTGTTTTTGATGCATTTCCAAGTAAAAAGCATTTTGAAAAGCAATCTCCATCACACCTCTAAACAGCGCAGTTTCAGTAACAATTCCAGATAAGAACAAATCATGATTTTTATGAACTGACAAAAAATTGTGGAATGGGATAGCACATCATGACTCGGGCCAAGGTATCACTGTTTCAAGAATTAATCTTTCCAAACAAAGGAAAAAAGAACATGTACTGAATACATAGTGGTGAAAAAAAAAAGAGCCAATGTTCTTGCAGGTATGAAAACCAAACATGCTGCACGGACAACATATTCCCAAAGAGGATTAAGATGAATACTAATATCAGCATCTACATCTACATCTAATTTGACAAGACCCCTCTTTCACTCACTATGATTTCCTTGTTTTAGCTATCCTCTTCATGTTAAGAGGGATTTGCCCTTCTCTATGTTTAGTCTTGGAATAACAAGTTCTTTATTCTATGGAAGGGAAATGCAGTGGAATGCTGGTTAACCAGTCACAAAAGTTAAAAAGGGGAAAACATGTTAAGCCTTCATGAATATTTGGTCATGAACTTTATTTTGAATCACATTATTCTAAGGCCTGGCAACATCAAAAGGGAGAAAAATAAAATTACGTTGGCCTTTTAATGTCCAAAGAGAGAAAATAAAAGAAACTAAAATTTCATACGCACGTTTTGCTTTGATTGCTGAAGAACCGGGTTGGGTACTCTTCTTAACTTTCAAGCAGGAAGTTAATTCACGGAATTTAGATTTGATTTCTTTTCTGATGTCAGCACTTCCATCTCTTTGGAATGGAATCTGCCTTGTCTGAGGCTCCCAATAATAAGATTTCAACCAATCAATTGCCTGAAATTTTCAGCAGCAGATGTTGTAAGTTAACTTTTACAGACTTCAAAAACAAACATGGTTTGTTAGTTAAATAATCATGTGGAAGCATGGTCCGCTGATTTTCCAAAAAAATATCATGAAATATTGAAACAGGAGTTTTATCAGACTTAAATGGAAAACTGTTAGAAAAGAATCTCAGGATAAAGGATTGCGCTATAGATTACAGAAACTTGCATGGACAATATACCTTAACAGCAGAATCCCGAACAAGTGCGAGAGCAGGAAGATCACGGTGAGAACCCTCTACAATCAAAGCAACATCAAGAAAAGACAATGGAGTTCTCGATTCAGTCCAGCAAAAAAAAATCAAGAATATTTCACCGCAAATTAATGAGATATCCACTGGATCTGCCACCAAAATTACAATAGCTCTGCTAGCATGTATACAAATATTCAAGTACTTTATGCTAGATCCTTGTTTGTGGATCAGGAAGAGGGATGCAGGTTGGCTGTTGATATGGGATAGATTTGGACCAACAAGAATTTGTGTATTTGCAGTGAGTTAGCTTGGTTAAAATGAGGAGTTTAGGGGTCAGGATATAAGAATTGAGGTTTACAGTTTAATGTTGAAATGCATTGCTGACTAAGAGTGAAGGCAAATGAATTGCTTTTACTGGATGATACAAAATTATGGTTTTAAGATTCTCAAGGCATCAACATAGCACCGAGATTATGGTTTATTCGAGTGGCTTAATTAGTAGAGCAAGAGTTGGAAAATGATGGAATTAATATCATGTAACAATAAGGTGAATTTTAGGGATTGATTTTAATGATAATAAGGGAAACTTGGAGGCTTATAGGTTGATGACGACTTATTGCAGATAATTGAAAGAGGAAGGGTAGGGACGCAAATAGAACAGGCTAAGTTTCATTTCTTGGTACACTGGTCAAGAGTCTTGGACTTGCAACCGCAACAGTAGATTTAGCAAAAACCTCAAGGATTATGTATGTGTTCAATCGTTTCCTTCAAGTGGACAGTAAAAGGGCAACATGCCCGAATAGAAAAATTCTCAGCAAGCACCAAATAACTTGAATTCAATAAAAATAATCCCAAAAAAAGTTCAAGATTCTTAATGACTCTGCACTTGTAGATACCAAAAAATTGCCAAAGTTAAGATTCTCCTTTGCATATAAAACCAACAATATAGAGCAACTAGCTTATGCAAAGAAAACACTAACCATGACGAATGTCGATCAGCGTGCGCGGAATACCTATTGCACCAGCTGCCTCAGCAATCGACACCTCTGTTTTCTTCCTTGTCTTCTCAACAACACAGTTTACAAGCCTTCAGTAACAACACTTGGCAATGTGAGCCCGCTATTTTTCCTTACTGCAATTCTATGTTTGCAGGCATATACAAAATAAGGCAACTTAACCAGATACAATCTTTAAGCATAAGGCCTCTTAAACTTTGATGTAGATATACTGTCCTAATTTCTAGGAAAGTTACACAGAAACCAGGATTAATTATAAGAATCCAAATGAATTATATGTCGTTTGTTCCAACTTGATAAATGACAAGTGTTTTTGTTGCAAAATATTTCAGCATATCTTAAAATGAAAAGAAATTTTTGAAAATTGAGGATAGGTAAACTTGATAAATGACAAGAAATTTTCATTGTAATTCTATGTTTGCATGCATCAACATGTTTCAAATTATTCTAGGTGAATAGGGTTAATATGTCTCTATATCTAATTTCCATTATATTAGCAAAATCCATTTCCAAGATGTTTTGCTCCAGCATCTTCATAACTATCAATGTAGCATGATTTATTGATGCATCATCATACAAGCTTTTCATGACCCAGCCTTCCTGGTTCTTACCTCAAGATTTCCATACGATATATCAAAAAAGAAGCCACGTGAAAAATACTTGTAAATTCCAAATACATATATGCTATTATTACATAAGTACAACAGCAAGGCTAGAGAGAATGATGAGATTCTAGTTGAAGAAGAAGAAGAAGAATGCAAGAACAATTTACCTCAAGATAGCCATACAATATAGCATTGCCAACATTTGCTCGGAATGTATAGCATCATCAGGTAAGTCCTTTCTACAAAGAAAAAAAAATGAAACTTTTAGAATAGACAAAAAAATGGATTCCAAATATATACAATTATAGCATAGCATCACACTCGAAAAGAGTTGTCAATAAGTCTGCTGTAGCACATTGGCAATTTCAAGTTATACAGGAAATCCAGGTTCAAATCCCGGCATCAGAAACCTTCTCTTTTTATTCATAAAAAGAATTAACATAGCATCACAGTCTCACGGAAGAGAAGAACTAGCATGGCCATTGTAATTTAAGGAACTGGCATAGGCCATTTGAATCAAGCAACCCGTTTAAAACAGAAGGACCTTGGGCATTTGAATCAAGCTCACCGAGACTGGGAACAAAGAGTTACCTGTACAAAGGATCCTTCTGTTGAACTTCAATGATCGAAGCTGTAACATCAATCACAGCCGGTAAACATCCTCTGCTTCGCCATGTTGAGATCTATATCACAGATATATAAGTTAAAACTGGAAAAACTAGAAATATTTTTATTGGCAGCTAAGCCACGAATTTAACATAATGAAACCACAGACTGGTTAGAAAAGGTTTTTTCACTTTTAACAGCTGAACCGAAACAGTGAAAAGTATACGATAGCAGCAGAGATCACATGCTGTTTCCCCTAATTTCTCAGGAAACAAACAGAATGAATCTTAGCAAGAAGTTTGAATTCATACTTTGAATGCCTAGACATTCCAAATTAACTTTCTAGGGAAACAGGCAGAGAAAATGTTGTGTGTGAGAGAGAGAGAGTTCTGTCTTACTCTAGTAATAGCAGAGTGAATCTTCTCAGGAGAATCGGAGAAGAGAGAATCTCTAACATGTTCCCATTCATTCCAGTTTAACCACGGCACTAATTTGTAGCCGTACGATGACGATGACGATGACGATGTTGATTTCTCTTGGTCATCGCCAACAACGGCTATTGTTTCGTCTTGGAATCCTAACAGTGCCTCCATTGATGAAACACCAGCTAATCCGCTGCCACTGGCTTCTTCAAGCAGGGAAAGGGAACTGAAAGTATCAAGATAGAAACCCTAATTTATCTTATGTTGCGGTTGAGTGGAATAATATTTTTATGGAGAGATTTTTAACTCTGCAAAGCAGCTTTACCACTGAGGCTCCGGAGGGAAGGGTCTGTGCGGTTATGGGGCTGGTCTGTCCAAAATCTAATACTCTAAAACCCTGGAGATGCTGAGGGCGGGTCAGATCCGGGTCGATATGGTGCGGTTATTGGGTTGGGAATTTGGGATAAAACTTAAAGAATGTTAAGGGCCTATCTGATGATAGCCAAAAAAACGGCCTTATGAAAATTATCAATTTAGGCCCATGGATCTATTTTACTAGAGACCAAGAGGATGGATGGTGGCATAAGGCTTTGGGTAAACGATGTTCTTAGAAGTTAAGAGTACCTGAATGAAACTCTACTTTCGAATTTTAAATACTTCAAAACTTAACATATAAAATAATACTTATTTGATATATTTTATATTCTTATTTGAATATTAGACTTTTGTTTCTTTTTACTTCAATCTAATAAAGTCTAGTGAGGTGATGTTTGTTTTTATATTTAAAGAAAAAAATTGAATGTATTTTTTTTGCTTCGAATTAATATTTTTATATTATTTTAATATATGGATATTAAAAATAATTTTTTAAAATAAAAAAAATATTTATTTTAATATATTTTTGATAAAAAAATACTTTAATAAACAATTATAAACACACTCTCGCATATATTCTAAATATATCTAGATGAATTTAATTATTTATTAAATATGTCTCAAAAAATTGGAAAATATATATGATGATGTTTCTTTCACTGTTTATAATGAACAGTGAATCACCTGATTTTATTTTATTTTTTCCAGTCAGCTTCAAATCACAATATTTTCAAGCAAAGAAACAATAAACAGGAATGAAATCATAACATAAATAATAATTTAAAAGCTAATTTATCATGCAATAATAGCAATCTTAAGAAGATACCCAAATAAAACAAGAAGTATCAGACAACATTATAAGTTCGATTTAAAGTGAAAAAACTTCAATTATTTAGGAATCTCAGTGTCACCATCAGTAATCTCCTTTTGCAAGCCCTTCGGATCCTTTCCATTAACAATACAGCCAACTGAAACACAAGTTCCTAGTATCTCCTTCGTCGAACTGGTTAGATCCTTCGCCATTGATCCTACTCGCATCACCTTCGTTATCTCTATCATATGGACAGAGGGATACTCCCGTCGTGCTTTGTATTGTGTCTTCTTTTTATCTCTCCATGGCCCCTTAAGCACCTTGATTACCAGAGCTGCTGCTGAGGGCACCACGGTAACTTTAACCTAACGGTTTGGAGGGTGATCTTGATGGCTATGTGAAGGCCCTTCAAATCCTTGGCGGTTTATTTGGTGATATCTTCTCTAATATTTTTTTAAATTTTTTTAAAAAATTATTCTGAACGTTAATATATTGATATAATCTGAAAATACTAAATAAAATTAATTTAAAATTAAAAAAAATATTTTTAAAACATAAAAATAAACAAACTTCCACGTAATAATTAAGGATAAAATTGTTGTTGAACGAGGGAGATTAAACTATTTTTCTGTAGAAATGTAGATAATGGCCTTCTATACTAAAACAGCTTTATAGTTTTGTATGAACAGCCAGGCTGCTCTCCTTTTTTAGAAAAGAATTCTCCTTGAGTTTTTTTATTTAACTATTTTATATCATAGCTAGTTACATGAAATAAAGTTGTAAATTGTAGTGAAAAAAATAAAATAAAATATTTTTTATATTTTTTCTTCATGTTAAACCATACTTCTAAATTGTATTTGTATTCGCATTGACTAAATCATGCTTTTAAACTTGATTGGATCATAAAGTTTAACTACTTCACTCCTGCCTATATTTTTTTAACGTTATTTATTTTTTAATTGACCTAAATCGTTGAATGAGTCGGTAAAGTAGTATATAATAAAATACATGGGATTCTCTCCTCGGCGCTCTACTGGGCACCTGATCTTTTTTTTTCCTTCAATTTTTCGAACATTTTTCTTTCTTTGTTTAATCCTTCATAGTCCAATCACATAAAATCAAGTTTAAAAGCATGGTAAAAATATAAAAATTAAAAGAAAGAGGTCTAAAATGTAAAAAGAAAAGAAAAGAAAAGAAAATACAACCACCCCGCATTAGCGGCAAGTTTTATTTTGATTTAAAATTTTAGTTTTTCTACTTTCAGCTACTGAGATAGAGATACGAGCGAGAAGTTGTTATGAAAACATCGGGGAAAGAGAGAGTGGTATGATTGGTTACTTTTTGGCGCCAAAACTTGTTTTTCAATGTGTGAAAGGGTTTATTTGATTAGAATAATTTGATGGTCATGGTTTTATCTGTAAAAATAGCTTAGACGCCGTGTGTGTTTATTGAAAGTATTTTCTGAAAAAAAAATTTAAATTTTTTTGTATTTATTTATTATTAAAAAAGTTAATTAATAAAAAATATTTTATAATAAGATAAAAAATTAATTTTATTTTTAGAAACATATTTTCACTTTATTTTAGATAAAAAATACTTCTCATAAATTGTGAAAAAACTTATAAATTTAATTTTATTTGTTGATTGTATTAAATTTAGTTTTCAAATTTATGATCATTAATATATTTTATTTTGAATTTTTTTAATTTTATTTTTTATAATTTAATTTTAATATTAACTTTTATTTTTATTTTTTATGTTGTTATTTGCATTCCTCTTGTTCTTTTTTAAAAACTAAATTTTTATCTATCTGATTTAGTTTTTATTTTTTTAATTATTTATTTTATTTTAAATCATTCATGAAATTATTATTATTATTTTTAATTTTATTTATCTTTCAATTTTTTTATTTATTAAATTTGATCTCTACTACATTGATTGTTATTTATTTTATTTAATATAATTTATGAAATTAGATTTTTTAATTTTATTTTAATTTAACTTTTTAATTTGTAAGATTTATTTCTTATCCTTTTAATAAACTTAAAAAATAAATTATTAATAGATTATTTTTCAACAAATTTTTAATAACATGACTAGACATAAAAAATATTTTTTAATTTATTTTTCATAAACATTAATTTAAAAAAAAAATGTTTTTTAGCAAACAAGCACGGCTTTAAAAAGAAAACCAGATTTCATTTTGATTTTTTAATTCAATTAATTTTTATTTTTAGATGGTTCTAGGCATAGTTTTAAAACCCGGGCCGGCCCGGCGGGTTGACCCGGGACCCGGCCGACCCGGGGCTGGAACCGGGCCGGGTTGATGAAAAAATAAGGTAAGCTATGACCCGGCGTGACCCGCCCGACCCGGCGGGTTGACCCGGAAACCCGGACGACCCGGCAAAACCCGGTCAAAAACCCGGTGGTAACCCGTTGACTTTTATTTATTTTTTATTAAAACGACGTCGTTTTGAATTTTTTTTTAAATAGAAATTAACCCGGCCGACCCGTTCGACCCGGTCAAAACCCGGTGACCCGGTCAAAACCCGGAACCCGGGACTTGGACCGGGTCAGCCACCGGACCGGGTTTAAAAACTATGGTTCTAGGGTGTTATGGGATTGTTAAATGATTTTAAGGTGAGGTGTATAATGTTTATCACGTGTTTTTCCCTAGAAAAAACAAAAAGATTAAGACTATATTTTTAATAAAAAACTTGCCCTTTAATTCTTGACCACCACAATGCGGCTGGGGATTGAATTACGAGCAAGAACAGGAACAAATCAGCAGTTGTTGCTTGTTTTTTTTAATATAAAAAAAATAGATGACATTAAAAATAGAAAAAGATAAACAAGGTCTCGTTACGATGTCCTATCCTGAACTTTGTACTCGCACCACTAGATTTTTTTAAAACGCTCAAGCTTGTATATTTATTTGTTTTATTTATTTTTATTTATTTTTTATTTAATATTGTATTTGATTTAGATTTTATTAATTTACATTTAATTAATTTTTATATTTTTTATATTTTTATAAGATTATTATAGTTTCAAATAACACCATGATATTTGATTAATATCAAATTTTACAATCATTTATTTTTATAATATAATAAAGTAATTTTTTAAAAATATTATTAAATTCATTGGAGTTAATAATCCGAATAATAAATTTGATGGGTTAAGCTATAAAGACTAAGTTTATCTAATATGTAAATTTTATAATATTTTTGTAAAATATCATATTGAAATTTAATTGATCAATTATTTAAAAAATAATAATTAATCACAATAAAAAATAATTAATTGATTAATTGAAAAGTCTTAAAATAAAGTTTTATCAAACTAAATGTTTTAGTATTTCACTACTTTAAGCTAAATGATTTTGCAATCATTTATTTTATAATATAATCAAGTAATTTTTTCAAGCTAAATGTTTTAGATGTCAGATTAATATTTTTGTAAATATTACAAAAAATTATCTAAATTGCAAGGAATTATTTGACCCACCATAATAAATTAATTTTAAAACCTATCAAGTTAATTTATTTTCAATTAATAATTTTAAAATAAATTATAGGAGAATTATCTCTACATTATCCGGTAAACTCACACGAGTCTCTTCTAATTTGTAGTATAATATATTTTAGTTTGTAGCATAACATGAACACTGGACTGCACGCCATGTCTTTTAGTTTGTAGTATGATCTTATAAAACTTAAACGATACTTGAACCAATCTTTTTAAATACGTTTTAAAAAATAAACCTAAAAAAGGATTACCGTAACGGTATCCCCACAAATCCAATTATCCAAATTTGAATTTCTTTTTATTATGTTCTACAATATCCCCACGTATTCAATAGATATCATGCTGTTTCCGGTGTGAATTATTTGTATACCGGCAAGATATGGATGTGGAGGCATTTCTTCTTCCTTGCTTCCTAATTTCTCACAGATCAAATCAAATAAGATAGTGTTTAAGATTGACGTGGATGATATTTTTAAAAGTATTGTTTAATTAAAAATATATTAAAATATTTTTATTTTTATTTTATTATCAACCCATTCAAATAATAAGAAAAACCATTTAGGTGGTGACCAAGTGCTAAGAGTTTGAGATTAAGGGGTTTGCTCTCTCTGTGGTCTTAGGTTCGAGTCCTTGGTTGTTCATATGATGGTCACTGGATATTTATATAGTCATTAACTTTAGGTTCGTGGGATTAATTGTAATACGCGCAAGCTGTCTGGACACCCACATTAATTTAAAAAATAAGAAAATATATATAAAAAAAAAAAGTTACAATACGACCGCACTCTCAAATGAAATGACACTTAACGGTCAACGCGCCCGCAGGAAAAGCCAAAAAAGAGGCCAGCGCAGGACATCTAGTGTGCCTAGCGCGAGACAGAGATCTCAATTGAAAAATGGCTTCTTGTTTCTATCTCTTCTTCTCAGTCTCTCTTCTTCTCCTCACTTATTCTCCTTCAAATTCACAATCCAACCAGGTAATTCATACCACCACCACTAATTTCTCATCTTTGAATTTCCTTATTTGCTTCACTTGATGATTGGTTTCTAAGTAAATCTGAGTTGACTTTCTGCTAGGTCACCGAGAAAGTGAAAAACGCTATTCAACTTTTTTATACTGACTAATCAATCAATCAAGATAAAGTATTATTACTTGCAAAGAGAAAAGGATTTGAAAATTTTGGTTTTTTTTTCACAGTTCTGCGAAGCTGGGATTGGATATGGTGAAGTTGGATGTGGACTTTCATCATCAACGAAGCTGTTGATCAAGGGAGGAACTGTCGTGAATGCACACCACCAAGAGGTTGCTGATGTTTACGTAGAGGATGGGATTATTGTTGCTGTCAAGCCTGATCTCAAGGTTTTTAATATATCTTCTCTCTCCTTTTTTAGTCGTTTTTATCTGTACTGTAGCCAAGGCTTTACTAGAAGTTGGTTTAATTTCAATCTTTTTGACCCAAAGACAGGTGAACAAAAATTGAAAAAAAAATCCGATCTTTT